CTGGAAAGCACTTTGGTCAACGATGTTGTTTTTAAAGTGCCCTCTAAATAAAGTTGGATTGGATTGGATTGAATGCACGCAGTTACATTAAAGCATAGACACAAAAACATTTGAGTGTGCATGCCTGTGGTGTATTTTTGTGAGTTGCTTAGCTCACAAAAAGACATGTATTTAAAGAATATTCCAAAAAAGCAGTACCATGATAACAAATGAAGGATGCCCACTCTAACGCTGTCTCTGTTGTTTGTGGTAGTCTCTCCTCTGAGTTTATCACAGGCTAATCCATGAAAACAGTGTCAGTCTCATTAATTGCTTACAATAAACAGATAATAAGCAAATCCATTTTATGAGCTACTTTGCTTAAATTCACAGTTTAAGAAGTAAGTTTAATAATCCGAGTCACTTCCTAGTGTTTACTAAACCATCTATGGACACCATATACTTTCTTTTACAGTGTTGCCTCTTTAATTAACAACAGGACTATCAAAATGATTGCCATGCTAATAAATCCTTATGTACTGTATCAATCACTTAATGTACCCTGACTGAATGGATTATTTTCATGGATTGATGTGGCCAGTAGTGATACGTCTTCTGTGGTATTGGGTTTTTGTGTAGCTAGTATCTCAACTTATGTTACCTACGTTAAGTTGAGATACTACGGACTTACGTTACGGATGTTATTACTGGTCTATCCCTTTTTTCCTATCAAGTGATGTAAACAGATATCACAGTATGAACAGAAATACACAGAGTTGTCAAGTCATGTCAAGTCTGTGCAAGTTAAACAAACTCCAAAAACCCCCAAAACATGAGGTGTTCTGTCAGGCTTTTTCCACGGGGATTGTATCGAGCAATGCTTTGCTAACCATTTTTGCAAAAGATGATGAAACATGAGTAAAACTTCAGAGAAACAACTGGCCCTAGAAGAGAAATCAGGTCATGTACAAGAGATGGTAGGCTGTGTAAAGAATGACTGGCAGAGATCCCTGGGCACCAGCCAGGGGGAAGGTAATCGACAATTGTATCCGCAAAACAAAAGACGTTTAGAAAAGGAAATATTAGGGCAATAAAGACGTAGAAGCCTCAAGGACCCAATGGAAATCTAAGAAGCTGAAAATTTAAACAGGAGTCAGTGTTACAGCTGGGACGACAGTGTCGAGATGACGTGGGCAAATAGAGACGGTTTTCAGCAAACTGAGTCAGATTCAGGAGTTACATTCAAGGCGATAAAGACAAACTTCAGCTGTCGTTCTTTGTCTCTGATCTTAAAAATACACACACACACCAGCCCATCTATAAGATCATAGCGTGGTAGTGATGTCGGTGGAATGTATGTGGCACCATGTATTCATTCCTTTATCTAATGGTTGGCTGTTGAAATTGAAATCTGATTTTACACAGACCCATTCTCTATTAAAACATATAAAGCATTAGCATAAATTAAAAGATTTGTTTCGTTTTCACTAAATATTCAACTATTAAGAGGTGAAGTGAAAAGATGAGCCGTCTGCTGATCAAAGAGTTTGCTCTCATTCATTTTTTTATAGATCTCTGGGTTCAGCTCAGACTAGCAAAACACAGTGTTGCTCTGTTTTAATTTAATTGGGTAGGTTAATTTGAATATTCATTAATGTCTATAATAAACCCTGGTGTTAAAAGTGCTCAGTTTTGCCTTGAATAGTGGCATCTTTTGTCAGTTCCAAACTTATTTGTCTGTTTCTAATCACAAAAAAGGGAAGTGCACTATTTGTTTTGATGAACTACAGCCCTGTTTCCAGAAAAAAGTTGGGTTATGGTAAAAATTGTCTGTAAAGGTAACACAGCAAAAGTGAGGAACCATATTTTTCTTTGAAACATAAGAAAATTTGAGATCTAATACCAGTAAGCTAGCTTATCTGGTTTTAAATTCAGAGGTGTGTGAAGGCCCACAGATTACAGCCATTTGTTTTAGCATTCATCTTTGTACTCAAACACTAGTTATTTCAGTTTTTGTCTTTTGTTGCTTGTTTTTTATTTTCTTGCTTATTATGTTTAATCCAGTATATGTGTCGATCACTTATTATAATCATGAGTGAGTCTTTAGGTAAAATGACAACTTGTTGCTTTTTCAAGTTTGTAAAAAAATGAAACAAACCTTCAGACTTGCGTCTCAGACAGTGTTGTGTCCCACAAATGATCTCATGTTGCCTCTTTACATCTATCTTCTAAATTAAAGCTATCTTGCGACTGCAGTTATCAGTTGTATGTGGAAGCTCGGTTGACTCGGAGCTATTGGTTTTCATACTTTGTCATTTTCATGGGTATGTTTATATCCCATTAACAGAGGCTTTTTTAGCTCTTTGCACATACACATTGTGGATAAACCTGAGCTGTCTGGCTCGAGGCTGAAGGGTGACTAGCTTGCTTGCTACTCCTGACTCTGCTTTAGTTCTGATCTGTAATTCCTGACGTGTGAAAGCAGAGTAAACGTTAGCAAGTGAACAATCAAATTACTCTAATGTGATTTCTTATCTTTAAAGATATGTTCTGCTATAATTACCTATTATTAGAAAGAGAGACTTTTAAACATGATAGCAACAAAACTCAGACTGTAAAGAAGTAACATCATTACCTAGCCTATCAACTCTAACAGGTGCAGAAATCAGCTTGGTGGACCAGATGGACCAAGTTGAACTAGTATTTTTATTTCCCTGTATACAGTATACTGACTGTTAAGTCTGTTACACATTGCTCAAGACTTCTAATTCAGCTGTGATGGGTTTTTTTTATATTATATGAATACATTTTAATTTTAATTAAGGTGTAGGATTGTTTTTCTGAGCTTACAGAACACCCCTGCTACTAACTTATGACAGTGCTTTAGATTACGATTTATTACCTTAGATTAAAGTGTACACAAAGCAATGTATTAAAAATGAGCTCAAACGTAACCATCTATAGCCATAATAATAACCCAAATAACACTGATGGGGAATCATTTTCTGGAGAATGAGAACCTTTACATTTGATATTTAAAGTTTGCTAGTAATACACAGTCATGTGTTTTCGTAGTGTAGTGTTGCTACTTTTACTAAGGGAACAGTTCTTGAAAAGTCCTCCACCATTGCTCATTGTCATCTAATGGTAAATATTTGATGGTAAGCATGGAGGTAATAACCTTTTTCAGCCAGGCCAGGAAGGAGTGCAGAAAATACTCAAAACTGTCAGGACATATAAAAGACTAGAAGTCATTTATCACATAATCATAAATCTGGACGTTTTGTCTCATCATTAGTGCGTTAAATGTGTGTAGTCAGGGGATGTCTTCACTCATTAGCGCTCTACAAAAGTCACTGCATGGAACTTATATATATATAGTAAATGTGTGTTTTTTAAAAAAAATTCCTGTAAACCAATTAAACCATTAAAACCATCTGGTAAAACTGTGTATTTCCCTTTCACCCATAACAGCGCTGGCCGGGTGGGATATGAGTACAGGAGCTCTGGGGAAGTCTGGCACCAGGACATTGGCAGTGGATCCTTCGGGTCCTGTGGGATACAAGTGAAGCCTCGATGGATTAATCTTTTACCAGCACATCCCACGGATACTTGATTGGAATGGGAAGTTGGCAATGCGTTGATGAGAGTGCTTCTACTGTGGGAGCCCACAGCAACAACCTTTTGGTGGGTGGTCAGAAACAGAAATGCCATAAGCCAGTGTGTCCCAACATAACATTGTGTTGCAACCAGATGATCAGTAGTATTCAATGTCGTGGCCTATGTATTATTTTACAATGGCTTGCTATTTCCTTGCGCTTCAAACGTGCCTAATAAGCCAACCTAACTACCTTCTCTCTGTAACCTTTCTGTGTATTTTCAGTATGAAGCTGATATATATATTCTTAATAAATCAAATCTGCTTATTTCCAAAATGTAAAAGTATTTCTTTAATTTAAAATACCATGCGCTGTCTTTACAGTCCTGAACTTCACGAAGTAACTTAGTAAGGTCATGCACTTCTTTATCGTTTCAAATCACCGACCTTATTATCAACCAGACTTAATCACGTTTTCCTTGTTCACAAGGTGGATATTTGTACTGCGTCTAGTACACTCAGTCAATAATGCATTTTTTTCTCAGCATGACTATTACCTGGTCTTTGATCCACAATGAAATGTGGGCTTACATCATTTCTCAGTGTTCTACATTCATAAACTATTCCTTCCCAAGTCTCAGTTCTTGACACCGTTCAGGCTCTGAGGGGATGAGCCCTACACACAGAATAGCTAATACAGCTACCAGCAGCTCAGACAGAGGGGAGTAATACCAGAATCCCCGTCTTGTCATTTCTCACAGGCTTAGTCCCGCTTTCATCTTTGATGTACACTGTATCCTAATGTAATGCAGCATTCATGTATCTTGATCCACTTTGTACTTCGGCTGACTCAGCAATGGGATAAGTGTAATTAAACTGTAGTTTTGCATAAAATAGAAGCTTTAAAGACATTTTCGCATGAAGGTCTCGTAGCCTTGAAAGTAGAGAAGAGTGGAAGATCTGGCGTCAGGGTCAGTCCCTTGGTCACTCAGGGCTGACGTGAATCACCGTGTTTATACTGTGGAAAAGATTTTTAATTAGCCCCTTATTTTCACTGCATCTGCAAGTGGCATTTCCAGATATAAAAACTCTTTTGCAACTTTTATCAGAATAAAATAATTTATATTCTCTTGACAGGAAACAGTTCTTTGTGATTGTCAGACAGACTGTCGGTGGATAAATCGGAATAATCCGTTCGTAGTAATAAGCATTCAACACTATGTCCAAAGAGAATAAAATAGATAAAATGAATGACTTGCAATGATGCCTTTTTTCTTTCTTTCTTTTTTTTTTTTTTTTGGTAACACCCCCTCTCCGCCTGCTAACACCCCCCCCCCCCCCCCCCCCCCCCCCCGAAAAAGAAGATGATTAATAGCAAGTAACTGTGGACACCGACTGAATGAAAAAAAGTACAATCAAGAAGGCAAATTAACAGTCATATTTACTGCAAGGTTTAGACTCAGTGTAATAAAATGCTCTTTTTGGAATAGATGTAAATGTATTTCTTTTTTTTTTTATAATTTATTGTAACTCCAAACAAAAATAATTTCTACAAAAAATATTCAAATAATGTCATATAATATCGATACGTGGTTCATATCTTTTCTCTCTCTTTTAGACTTCTGATTAGTTAAATTCTTCTTCCTGAATACTGTGTGAAGATTAAATCTCGCTAAGTGTGGCAACAATCACTCATTCCTATAACAACCATAATAGTGACTAATGTATTATAATTCATAACCCCCTGGATATTATATAATATGTATAATCTCAGCAACTGCTAGTGGGCACATTAGATACAATGACTGAAGATATATATTTTTTTTTTTAGAAAAAAAAATGCAGCAGGAATAGAATAAATGTAAAATCAAGTCTCAGATTAAGAGAAAAAAATGAAACCTGGTTAATATACTACGTAGGCCTCAGCAATAGGATCAAACAAGCGCCTCTCCGCTCGACCCTTGTCAACATGCCTTGTCCTCACTCTGAGCCCGACCGCACGCCCTCGACGTCAGTTGCAAGTGAGATCCGCAAGTCAACCGAGAAAGAGAAGAAATTTTAAAAAAGAAAAGAAAAGTCTTGTGATAACAACAGCCATTCCCTTTGATGTGAAACAGTGGTGATTAAGTTTTTGTCTATGCTTTTTGGTTTGATGCACATTGCTCCAGCTTAGGAATAAAGGGAACAGTGGTTGGTATGATTTTTCTTCCCCCCCCCTGCATCTTTTTTCTGTGAGGTTGCTCATATTTATTCTCTGTTTGTCCTTCGCACACCTGAGTGTACACCCAGTGCAATTACAGTCCTGTGAAGTGCGCATGTGTGTTTGAAACGGGAATGGGAGTCGAGTAGTGATCGGTGAGCGTGTGCGCTTTTAAGAGTGCTGCAGTGTTGGGTCCATTACAGGGACGACCCCTTCCCATTTTGGGTCACCCGTCGCCTCACAAATACGCTCATATACACATGTTTTAGGTGTGAGGCAGGGGGGTGGGCGGAGTTGGGGGGTGAGGAGGATTTTCGTGGCTCAATGGGGCGTTAATGTGGCCAGCAGGTAGGTTAGCAGAGTGCCGAGCAGCAGGGTGGCCGTGGAAGGGTGCGGCAAAGAAGCGCCGCTGCAGTCCTTGCCCGCCTCACAGCGCGAATGTTGGCACAGTACCCCCTTGAACTCTGGAGGACAGATGCACTTCAGGTTCTGGTAGCACGTTCCTCCGTTCTGGCACAGGAGCATTTCCTCGTCACAAACGTTAGCTGCAGAAAAGAAAAGAAAGGTGAGAATAGAAAGTGCAGCATAGGGAGGAAGTGGCGTAGAGGATGGAGGGTGAAGGATTTGCAGAGGTAAGGTGAACGGGAGAGACGAGTTGTGAATAAAGAGCATGCGGGGAAATGACAGAATGACAGGCGGTAAAAGGATAGTGGGGGAGTAAAGAGCACAAAGACGAAGGAAAGATGTATGGCAAAGAGGGAGACAGGTGGGGGATGATAGAAGGGGCAATGTTAGACAAAACATGATAAGAAACAGAAATGGGGAGGAGGAGAGGAATCCAGGGCAGAAAGAACAAAGTAGAAAAGAAAGAGCAGGAAGGAAAGAGCCGAGATAAATTCTCCAGTCTTTGCCTCGGGGACTACAACAGGTAACACCTGTCTTTTTTTTTCTTTCGTTATTGCAGCCCTTTTCTTTGACTGTTTTTCTTGAGCATGCACTTTTTCAGGGTGAGGTCAGAATCACTGTATCAAATCCAGCAGAAAATACACAACATGTGTTTTATTTGTTCAGGAGTCTTTTGGAAGAATGAGCATCGTCGGGAACCATAGGTACTTGGGTAACTGTACCACATAACATACTTGACCTAAAAATGTTCTGAGGGGAAACGGGATCCAGCTTCCGTGACAAGAAGTAATTACATGTGCTAACATTTTTTACTACACCAAAGATAATTGGTTCTGTTGCCTGGGAGTATCTGGAGTAAGATGTCACGGCTAAAACAAACTGCACGGCCTTTTAGTGCAGCATGTTCCATATTGTAATAAAAAACTCACAGACAGATGCATTTGTTTTTGTGTGTGTGTGTGGGTAGTTGGGTCTACTTGAGACTGAGACCAATGGCTCGATGGTAGATGGCATAAGGAAGGCGTTTCCCCATAATAGGGTTAAGGTGCGACAGGGTCATCAATTAAATAAGAGGCTGATGTCACTAATGAGCTACGTGATCTATTCCTCTGTGAGAACGGACAACATCCAGAGCTGCACGAGCTAAATGGATGGTGCACTTGCAAAGGCCCTGGAAAGACTGCAACGTTTCCTCAACTCGAAATTTTTTTAAACCACCAAAAGTCAGTATCCCCATACTCACGGTAACAGCCTTGCTTCCAGTAGTATCCTGGCAGACAGTCGTCACATTTGGCCCCCGTGGCCCCGTCTTTACACTGACAGAAACCTGTGCCGTTACACCGGTCATGAACAGAGCCCATCTGGTTGCAGTTACACTCTGGAAGAAGAGAAGGGTGGAGAAGAAGAACAGAACGAGTCAGTTATAAATGCTTGTCTCATTTCATTTTTTTTCTGCTTTTTGGGTGGGGGCGGGGTTAATCTAGACTTGAAATGAGTTTGGCTCAAAATCTACACATTTGTATTCAGACCACTGAGTTGTGTTTGATGTTCAACATCTTCAGAGCTCTGGTTCTGTGCATGTGAGGTGAAGTTTCTCTAAAGGCGTCCAAGCGTTGAAGACATTCAGGGCTGAATTTGAGGCAATTTTTCAGCCAGAAATATATTAGTGTTTAGCCTGCAGTGTATCACCTTGTTGAACATTCAGTGTAGTTTTTTCTTTACTTTCTTTTTTCATGCAAAACTCCATGATTATGTGATCAATGTAGTCCTGTCTGGGCTACCAAACTGTTATGATTTCAAAGGCATCTCACAGGTAACATTTATTCTAAAACAGCAGAGCACAAATTGAATTTGGAGACAAATTTTCTGATTTGTCTCCAAATTCAATGCATATGCTAACATGCACAGTATATAATTATGAGTATAGAAGGAAAAAACAGAGTTTGTACGATTCTAATGAGACTAAATGTCAACATTTGGTACAGCCGCCTTTACTCTCTAAATAGCCTGAGCTCTCTCTACTTTCTTAGTAGTAGTCTTCAGGAATAGTTCTCCAGGCTTCTTGAAGGACATTCAAAGCTCTCCTTTGGATGTTCGCTGTACTTTTTTTGTGTTCATAATTCCAGCAATTTTGACAAGACCCTCAACATCACTGGCTGAAAAGCAGCCTGAAACCAGGACAGGTCCTCCACTGTGTTTCGCAGGTTGCTGTAGACACTCACTGTTACACCTCTCTTCTCTCCTCTCAATGGTTCTTGTGTAATTACACATGCCTCAGCTTTTTCTCCCTGTTTCTCTTCCTTAAGAATGGCTTCTTAACAGCTTCCACTGAGACCATTTCTGATGAGGCTTCATTGAACAGTAGATGGATGAACTGAGGGGCCAGATGTAGCTCTCAGGTCCTGCGGCAGGTCTTTACTGGATCCCCACCCCCCACTTGTTAGAGACAAGATTATCAGATATTGTTCATCTGTTATAGATCGTTTTTTTAGGCCTGGCACTTCTACTTCTAGCCTCCACTTGTCCAGTTTCCTCAATTCTTTTTAAAGACACACTGCATACCATGCTGAAAAATGCCAAGTGTTCATCTATTTGCATATTTTATTAAAAATTATTTTTGGCATTATTTGTAGATTTAACTAAAGTAATGGGAGCAAATGATGGGGTTTTGTGACAGGCTGCTAGTAACAAAGTGCCTAAACATACAATTTAAAATGGTTTCTTTTGGTTCTTTGCTAACTTTTGTGTGTAGACACTACACTGGTTCTTCCCTTGAATTAGGTAACTTTTTAAATGCTCGAATGGGTGAGAAAACCTGGAGAACTAGTGCTGAAGACACCTTTAAGAAATACAAGAATGTCTGGCTCCTTGAAAGCAAAATATCAAGAACTGAAGGATGGCACAAGACCCTTGCAGGTAAGCATTTTTCAACAACTTTAGAAGCCTTCTTAAAGTGTGAGTTTTTAACGCGGGGAGCATGGTAGTGTGGTGGTTAGCACCACTGCCTCATAGCTAAAAGGTCCTGGGTTCAAATCTACAGGCTGTGATCCAGCTTCCTCCCATAGTTCAAAGACATGCACATTAAGTTAACTGGTAATTGTAAATTGGCTATAGCTGTTGTGTCTCTCCCTCTGTGGGATAGACTGGCAATCTGTCCAGGGTATAGCCCACCTCTTGCCCTATGACAGCTGGGCTCCAGTCCAGTTATGACCCTGAATTAGATGAACCGAAGAAGATGGATGTATCCCAATGCCATTATCAGGTAGTTTTTAAATTGGGTTACAAACTGCCTGTGCTGGAGAAACAGCTGCAAAGTCACAAAAATACTCCATATACACAGTGTGCTGTGAAGTCTCCCCTGCCTGCTGTAGTTTGATTAAAACACTCTCAGTTCATTTGTCTATTTAATGCATTTCACTTGAGCTGATGTGAGAGCTGTCAGTCAGTGCACAGGCGCCCTATATTAATATGTATAGACTAAACATAATACTATTTTTTCTTAATAAATTGCTTTATTTCCACTAGTCATTAGGATTCCAAATCCATATATCCTTGAATAATATTGAGATCAGTGACAGCTGGCAGCAGATAAAAGGCTCACAAACTGCAGAGCTGCGTATTTAGGATACATTTGTCAGTGAGTTGATGATGAACTGATGATTCTATCATAATTTGATGTAAGTCAATAGCTTGTCTTTTGAGAAAACCCGAGATCGCCTTTAGTAATTTATTATAAAATTTAGCATTAAAAATTAATAGAAGTGGGAAAAAGTCTGAGATTAAGACAACCACAGCGCTGTGGTTGGCATTCCTGTGTTTGTGGGTCATGTGCATCAGTATTGGTTGACGTATGGGAGCTTTTATCTGTGAATGTGTGTGGGGAGACTGAGTGCAAACACATTTGTATTTTACAGTGTTTGGCTTCTTGCTCTAGAGATGCTAGTTTGAACTGATTTCTGTTGCCACACTTGGTGTGCCAGTGTGCTGGCAGATAAGCTAATGGGACCTTATTTGTGCTGACTCCAAGGCCTGGCCCTGTGTGTGCCCTGACCGCAGTGAGTTTACCCTCCAACCCCCTGCAGTTCACCTAGAGATGGATCCAAATCAACACCAGATTTTCCGCTCCACAGCTATGCAAACAGAGTGACCTCTTATCAGGACGTGCCCTTAATGTGACTGACTTTAAAACAAACACACATTATCCTGCATATCACTGCAAATAACAATACAAAACTATTCTTTTTTTACAGTACAGTTATAAAATAATCCCACAGTTTCTGTTCTTCATTGTTTTGGCTTTGCATGGTAGAACAGAAGACATGATATGAGTTTAAAGAGTTGGCTTCTAGCTCAAAGGATGCCTGAGGGTGTTCGCATTAGTACTGGCTGAACAGTGTCTGACTTCTTTTATTCAAACTGTAGTCCGCCAAGCTTTAAGATAGTAGCGAAAAAGCCCTTAGAAACTCACAAAGCTTTGATTTCCAAGCAATAAAAACTTCTTGAGTGGCCACATCAGTCACCTGTGTATACTGTTCCACTTACTTAAGACCGCGCTGAAAGGCAAGAAAGCCCTGAAACAAGCAGAGATTTCATCACAAGTAGTCGTATCATCCTTTGCTTTGTTTGTTCCTATCAATTAGAGTGGCTTTAAGATTTTGTTAGAACTGTATGTTCCCTGCAGTTTGAGAATAAGTGTCTAAAACAAGGCTATTTCTTCACTTTTTCTCTGATATGGATGTAAACGCACACGGCTTGAATCTGACAGCACTATAATCCCGTAATTATCGTGTCCTATCTAAATTCAAAGCAAACATAGGCAAATATGTTTTATAAAAGTGCCGCTGAAAAAACATTTGCATTAAACACTACGCATTAAAATTTCACTGCTACACCACCAAGTGTTGGTAACTTTGTTTTTAACTTAAGATGCATCATCTTGTTGTTTGAAAATTTAAACGCGCCTAATGGATCTTCTTACCTGTTTCACTGTCAGTCACACACACACACACACACACACACACACACACACACACACACACACCCACTGCTGTCGTACCGATGCGCCCCCCCCCTCCACATATTCTCCCCGTTTCCCAGCAGACTCACCGATGCAGACGCTCTCATCATCCAGTTCGGCAGAGGCGTTGCGGTAGAATCCCAGTCTGCAGTGTTGGCAGTTCTGGCCCCTGGTGTTGTGCTTGCAGCTGACGCATGTGACGATGTTCAGGTAGTCGATGTAGCTGCAGCGATTGGAGTGGCCGTAGCACTCGCAGTCTGAAAGAAAAAGTGGTGGATTTCAAATTTCTTCTCAGGTGTAGGAAAAAAAAAGATTCATGAATGAAATGGGATAGAGGGTGGGGGGTGTTGCAGTCTTGGAGGTGTTTTTGGGTGACACAAGGAAATGATAAATGAGCTGAGCTTATATAAAATGTCTGAAAGTTTTACTTTTAGATGTCAGTGGAGAAACAAATGATGCCGTGTGTGTTTTATGGCTTTCCTTTCTCACTCTATATTGGTTCAATAAAGACAGACCACTCCCTCTCCATTACTACACTCACAGGTTTGCTGAGTCTGCTTCACTGCGCTGCACTGATTACTGATGGGAATTGCACTATCCTGGCTATGGGTGTGTGTGTGAGTGTGCACGTGTTTGTGGCTATGTGTGCAGCTGTGTGAATACAAGCATGGTAATTGTCTCTGGGAATTTAATTGTGTTACAGAATGAGCAGATTATAAGCTGTAGAATAGTAACTAAGGGAATTAGTTTGAGGTGAGTGGTACAGTGAGTGTTTGGAGACTGCGCTTGACAATATGAAAATGGTCTGACCCTGGTTAGGCTGATGGAAAACTGGCCTTTGTTCACGCCTCGGCAACGAGTCAATCTGAATAACTATTGGAGCATGTGTAAAATACCAAAAAGTCGTTATAGGAACAGTAAACTTTGTTTCTTTATTTTTAAAATGTGATGATTTTTTTTAAATTTTAACGCAGCGATGTGTAAATTCCCACCAAGGTCAGGTTTGCCCCATGTTGCATCAGGACTGTTTGAATGTAAGATGCCGACTGGTCCCAAGCAGTAGCGGTTTTTGATATGGGCGACACGGGCGGTTGCCCGGGGCGGCATCACGGGCATCGGCAAAAAAAATAAAAATAAAGAATTGCTCGTACTCATGCTGCCCCGACATCAACCAGCGCATATTGGGAATGGCATAAGCACCGATCGGTTTTCTATCGCCCATTTGCTGGGAGTAAGGGTGCCCTTGTTTGCGAGGTGCGCCTGCTGCTTGCGGCGCTGGCAGGAGAGGATTCTCTGGCTAGCTGGAGCAGCATCTAATAACCAACAATATTATGATACAGACTCATAATTTGCACCGATGTTTTTTCAAAATTCTATACGCAAAAAGTGAGCGCGAGAGCCATCGGTGCACCTGCTTGCTGCTGAAGTCAAAGTAAACTTGATTGTCATCTCCGCTACATACAGTCCAGTATATATTGTTTTATCTTGTTGTTGTTTTAATATTGGGCTGTTTTTATTTTATGTTTTATGTGTTTTATTTATTTATTTTTGGTGTTTTCTGTTTTTCTATTGTTTTAACTTATTTTCTGTACAGCACTTTGTTCCTGTGCTGGGTATTTTAAGGCGCTTTATAGATAAAATTGGATTGGATTGGATATAGAGAGACGAGACGACGAGGCTGCAGTTACAGCAGTGCAAGTGAACAAACAATAAATATAAGAACAGTAAGAAAATAAATATACACTTTAGGAGGTAAAGGGATCAATAACAATTTAAAATTTATAATTTACAGTTTGATGATTTAAAGTCTCACACACAAGCCGTCGAAAGGGGAGGAGGGCAGCTGCTTCCAAATAGAGCACATTTCATTCATAATGCTGTAAATCCAAGCCCATTATGTATTCATGATTTGAATCCTGGGTTGTGTGAAATCCCAGAAATAAACCCTTGACAAAGCGAATCTGTGAACTAAGGTGTAGGTGTGTTAGGTTATGTTGTGGTGACCTCGGGTTGGGGGATGGGTGTTCATACTGGAATGCAAAATGAAAACCAATGGAAGATGGACAAGAAAAGTTCAAAGCCATCAGGTCCTCGGTTTAGAAAAAATAGAAAAGAAGAGGAGGAGAAATGAGCAAAAGATACAGGTAAGAGGATGTGTCACTGGATAATGGCAGGTCATCCTGAAACAATCAGAATCAGAATACTTTATTAATCCCTAAGGAAATAACGTGGGTTACAGTTGCTCCAAAAAGAAATGGTAAAAATAGTAACAGTAACAGACTAAACTCCAAACAATATATTATGTTACAGATTTTAATATTAATTTGTCAGTGTCAATTGTTGATTTGTCCTGTTCTCATTGTATGACGAATTATGGCTGTTTGCATACTATGCATATTCTCTCTCTCTTCATATGTGTGTGTGTTTGTGTTTCTCTGGTGAATTTCGACAACAGTCTTATGTTAATGTACAATCCTTAATATGCTTTATGTGTGTGTGTGTGTGTGTGTGAGGGGGGGCAGAGGGAGTGTTAGCCCGGGGCGCCAAACAGGCTGGTCCCAAGCACACTCGGGCAGGAGCAAAACTTAATAATGTGCAAGTGAGTAATTGTTGAGTGTTTGCAGAGGAGTTGCAAGGTTTTCAGTGCAGCACCATGTAGCTCTTTGCAACCAGTTTTACTTTGCAACAACAGTCCCACAACCACTTGCTAACTACTCGTTAGCAAGTGGTTGTGGGGAACTACTCGTTACAGTACTTTCGCTGTTACCCAGTAAAGGACTTGAAACATACTGTCATTGTAATTACCAGGTAACTACTGAGGACACATATAAGACCTTTCTTTTAGTGTTTATGTACGAGCACAAGACAAAAAGACAAAGCAAAGATGAAAACTGGCACAAAGAGACCTTAAAATGATTGCCATGGTGATTCTACTGTAGAAATGGAGGCAATAACGCTAAAAGCCTGACTGCTCATCACTGTCTTTGTTGCTTGTTAAAGTTCAGGGTCTGGCTGCTGGGCTCGGGTCAAAATGCACTCAACTTTAACATCAATCTGAGTTTTTTGCCAGCTTTGCATTAGGACCCTGTCTGATACTTCTCAGCATATTCCATCTGTTTCTATCCTGCATGCAGTTTGCACTTCAGCAGTAATTATAAAAGTAATGCTGATCTCTCCAATGCTCAAAAGTTGCACACCTCAATGCCAAATTTCCTGCATGTGAACAAAAATTGGGAACAAAACACAAGTTTGTGCTTTTTTTTTTGTCTTTCCATGTTCCCGGCGTGCAGATAACTTAAGAACCTTTACAACCTGAGTAACAACATAATGTACAACAATCACTGAATTATGTACAGTAACTTGTTACATTACTGCATTACCCAACACTGTAGTAATCAGGTAGTTGACAACTTCTTTCTTTATTTAAATAATCAGGACCTTGCAAAATGTCTGGCTGGCAACAAAGCTTTTATGTTGTTCAGCAATAACTGTGTCCTCACAGGTGTGCAAGTTACCTACCTGCACTACCAGCAGAAAGGTGCTGTCTACAGATTTCAGATCTCTTAATTAAACTTCGAGTTAAGTTTTTTTGTTTTGAATTTGTGTAATTTTTCTAATTGTTCTTCTTAAAAAAATCATATGTTTATATCAATGTGGACACCAGGACAAGCTGTGCATAAATGTGCAGATGCCGTTTCCTCCTTCATTATTCTATATTGTAAATATAAATCAATATAACAAAAAATGTTGTGAGTATTTTTGGTCCTACACTGCAGCCCAGCTTCCTCCTCTTTTCACTGTTGGTTTTTCCATTCACACTGTTTTAAATTCCCTTTTATAAAGTGCTGCGTAATCAGAGATCTTAATTAAAATTTCTCTTTGTAATTCATGAATTATTCGAGCGGATTTGATTTCAGGTTTTTACTCCCTTTGCTTGTACACTTGATAAGTTAAGACTTGTTACAAGTTTTGCACCCTAAAACCAAAACGAAGAAAAAAAGTGATAATGTGGAGAATGGTTTAAGATCTCTGGATAATTTTTCCACAGAGAGAGAAAAAAAAAAAGCCGGTTATAACCTAGTGTAGGATCTGTGTTGTGCAGAAGGGTGTAAGAGAGGAGAGGTTGCTCGACAGTCTCTTTACGATTATCTTGGCTGAGACTCGTACCTAATTAAGGTTTTATTAAGCTTTAGAAGTTGGCTGCAGTGGTGTGCTGCAAGGCATCACTGTCCTCTAAAGAGGCGTTTACCAGGCATGTTTATGCAAATACACATTTAAATGCACATTAAAAAGTCGGAGTTTAGCTGTTTAATCAGCCGTCACATTATTATTTTATTATTGTTTGGTTGATGATGCCAGCTGAAATATTAATGAGCTGGTTTAAAGGAAGCCAGCGAGAGGAGCACAGTAAAGTGCCTCTCTCAGCACTGAGGGAACCATGCTAGCAGTGGGAGGAAGAACTGCCTAATTAAATATAAATGGTCAATTACTCCACAGACTAGAGAGGCAATGGGACATTGTTCCACAAATGAACGTTATGAGTCAAGATGCTGCTTTATAGGTATTTATCAATTGTGAACCGTTAACATTAAACGACAGTTATATTGCAAGACTGAGAGGAAACAACCTGCATCAGAGAAGCTTCAAGATTGGTGGAATAATGGTACATTTAAATCCAAATTCTTACCTTGATCATGCACATAAACACAACCACGAAGGAGATGCATAGAGAAAGAATGAGTGAAATGAAAAAAAAAAAGCCCAGACAAAATACAAAGGAGGGAATTCTTCCACAGGTTTTCTACTTGAAAAGCATCATCAACAGTTTAGTGAAATGACAAAGAAACACTTTACAATTCACTGACCCAAAATCCACAGGATTTAATTAAGCTCAGATTTTCTGTCTTGTTCTTCAGACCTTGTGTTTGTGTTGGTCTCTTACCTTTGAAATCATCGTATATGATCCCAAACAACTGTTTGGCCTGGGGCTCTCCTGAGATCAAAAGTTTCAGCAGCCCTTGAGGGATGAAGCAATCTCTCTTCAAAAGTCAGCTCCAGATCATTCACTGTGCTATAGCCATCTACAGCACCATAGCTTCACACAGCAGGAGCTAGTATACCCTAAAGGTCAGTGTCAGTACTATAGAGGTGCTTATTGGAGGAGGTGGCAGGGATTCCCACTAGATCCTACCTTAAAAAAGGGGATTGCTTTGTTCTATAAAGCTGACAAAATCTTTAACTAGTGCAGTGTTTCTTCACTGGTCAGACCGCAGATTTTACAAGCATTTATATGCAGTAAAGAAAGTACAGGTATGCCACACTTGGCTTCAGCTTGGTATAGCTGACTTTTACATGTAATTTTGTTGCATAAGTACAATGCAAAATGTAAAATCTTGTGGAATTGGTCCAACATAAATGCAATTGACTGGATACACTGACTGGATATATTCAGTATATATCAAGCATATTTCCTTATTGTTTAATAACTTGAAATTAAAAAAAACTTTCATTTTAGTTAATCATCTTTTAGTTCTTTTTTTAAAAGCATATTTTTAGCTTTTAAGATTAATATCTGGTCCTGAAACACTGCCAATTAATTATAAACAAATGTGCACAAAAGTTACACAATAAATGATCATATTCAAATTCGCATTATACCAGAGGCTAAAGACAAGCCACTAATCCCACCACAGTGCTGCAGTGAGACTGTGGTGAGACTTTGGTGGTCCAAAGTAAAGAAAGGACAAGGGCGATTTCATACACATTAATATAGAAATTTTAACAGATAACTGGGTAACCTTATGGTAAATATTGTATTAACAAATTTAAAGCTATGCAGAAAATTGGTGACAACCCTGTTTCAGTTACTAGAGGCAGAGAATAAAATCCACAACATTGCGACATATTTAGCAAATCTTGTGTCCAGACAGGGACCGAATGAAACATTGCACATAATTTTATTTTCATATGTAGATAATGAAATCTGTTAGGGAGCTCAAATGAATAAAGTCATTACATTTCACGGGGTATCTTCCATGCTGGCTTTTTATAACGTTTTTATAAATTCAGGACATTGTGCCCCTGTTAATCTCATCACGATAAATTTGTCTGACCAGAGATGAATCACTGAGTGATTATTTCACATTTAAAATCCCACCTCGCCTTTTCCCTTTTTGCTTCTCCTCTTCTCTGTCTTCATCCTCCTCACGACCGACTACTTCCCATTCTGCTTTTTCAATGCCATGGTGTGCTACAAATGAGCAACAACTCAGAAATCAATCTATATTGATGCTGCACAGATTATCTCAGGTTTTTGTAAAGAAACAGAGAGACTACAAAAATCAAAAAAAGATTTGTGGAAAAAGCCTTTGCTAATGCAGATTCCATTCATGCATTCTAATGTAATACGATATGTGTTCTTTCTGCATTATAATGTGTTGATCAGACAGAACATGACGGTGTTTAAAATGTGGGAAAAACACAGAAACAGCACTTTCTTTTTTTCAGGAGCATCTTCAGTGTGAAATTCATCTTCCTTTTCTACTCTGCCCATTTATTTCTGTGCCATCCTTTATGCTATTTGCTTTTTCTGTCCAGCCCTTCTGCATCATTCATTGTCTTAGATAAAAAAAAAAGATTAAAAAATGGCTCTGCTTTTGCTAACAGACTTAAATTTAGCCTTATGGTTCATGTTGACAGACAGGCCATCATGTAGCTGAAGACATATATTTAGTTATTTTTTCCAGTTTTCATTTTTCACCTTAGGCTGCCAAGGTTAAGTGATGGTGAAAGTTTCTTCTACTGCCTGCATCACAAGTAATATACTCTTTCTAGCTTGTGTAACTCAAGTGAACGTCAAAAGGGCTACATATTAACAAAATGTCTTTTCAAATTTTATTTCGCTATGCTAATTCTCTTGACCGTGGTAAAATTAAATTTTTGTTTTTGACCATGAGTCTCGCATACATGTCCCTCAAATTTATGGGAGAGTGAATGACACATCAAGAAAAAATGAGCTACATTTCATGATGAAATTCCTAGCACAACATATAGCATAGATAGCTTTCCTTTCGGCTGTTGTTCATGTGAGGCTGGAGGCTTTGTGGTCACAAGTCTCATGTACATGTTTACTGTTCACAAAATGTAAAGGAACACTTTTTAACCAGAGTGTAGACTCAGCTAAGTAAACTTCTGGGATATTGATCTGGTGAGTTAAGTAGCAGAGGGGGTTGTTAATCAGCTTCAGCTGTTTTGGTTATAATAAAATTAACAAGTTCACTAGAGGGGAAACCCAGAGACAACCCAGCAACACAGAAATGGTTTACAGGTGGAGATATTGACATATTTTCCCTCCTTATCTTTTCTGTCTGTTTTCTCATTAGTTTTGCATTTGAATAGGTCAGTGTCACTACTGGTAGCATGAGGCGTTAACTGGACCCTACAGAAGTTGCACAGGTAGCTGTTTGCTGTCTCCCAGCACAGTCTGAGGAGCATTCAGGAGATTCCTTGAAGGGGGGGGCATGACTCTAGCAGATAAGGGCCTAGCTATAAGGCCCTTAAACCATCAGTAAGACTAGTATCTACGCCTTTATGCAATGACTACCAGGATGAGCATTGCCGGTGCCCTACAATATGACCCCCAGCAGGCCTTGGTGAAGATGTCAGAAACAGACGTCATGGGTGTCCGACATCATCTAGTGGACCCTGTTCTCACGGGCACAGTGGAGTCTGACAGGGATTTGCCACAGAATTGCAGATTTGGCAATTCCACCACTAGCGCCCCGTCCCTTTTACGGATAAGAGTAGGTTCACCCTGAGCACATGTGGAAAAACATGAAATGGTCTGGAGAAGCTGTGGAGAACGTTATACTCTGTAACATTGTTCAGCATGAGCGATTTGGGGAGGGATATCCATGGAGTGACGCACAGACCTATACAGGACGGGCAATGGCACTCTGACTGCCAATCCTTCTCAGAGCCTACACTATCGCAGTGGGTCCTGGATTACTCCTGGTGCACAACAATGCCCGACATAGAATGCAGACAGTTCCTAGAGGAGGAAGGAATTGATACCACTGACTGACTCCCACGTTCACCTGATCTAAATCCAATAGAACATCTCTGGGACATTATGTTATGCATCTGACGTCAGGGTGTCTTTGAATTCAGCCCAGTCCAGTCCATATCAGTATAGATATCCAGAATGATTTTTTTCCCATTGACGTCTCACATGTTTTCAGTGTTCCCTTAACTTTTTGTGCAGTGCACGTCACACATGTGGTTGACAGTCATATCAAAACCAAAAAAGGGATAAGAAAATAGCTCTTTCCTCAACTAAAAAAAATACTAATTGAACAATGTCGATCTCTGTTCCTTTACTTGGTCCTACTGCAGTTTCTGTCATCTCAGTTAATATGATGCTGCCATTAGTTTGAATTTTGATACATTTCTTCTGTTTAAAGTTGCCCAATTTTTAATACTTGTCAAGTGATATTGTTAACTTGTAAGAAAAGTTTTCTGCTGTATGTTTTATTATATAACTAACAAACTGACCACCATCAAATACCTTTTCCTTCTCTATGACTTTCTTCCCCCATGCCCGAGGTTGTTAATGTCATGTGCCCATGACTCTCATGAACATGTCCGGCAGACTTGTGGTGGTCTGAAACAGCCGTTGTCACTTTTAATAACTAAAACTTGGAAACATTAAAGTTTATCCATTGCATATTTCACTCACTAGCTACCCAAACACATCTACCACTATATCTAAATTATATACCTTGCCTGGGTGTATGCTCCTCGCCATGCTCAGATGAGGTTCTGTGGCCATGTGTGTGTCCCTCAGAGCTGTGCGAGACTGGCAAAATAATTGTTATCAACATTAGATGCAAACATTTCTACAATTTCCAATATGCAGTAGCAGATTAGCTAAGGTTTCTTTATAGAGAAAGACTGTTAGTACAGGTGTACTACACAAGGAACTATAACTGCAGTAAAACAATCCCAGTCACAGATACCTCTTCTTTCTGTATGCCTCTCTTCCTCCCTTCCATGTCCATGTGTTGTTATGTGGCCATGGGCCTCATGCACATGTCCATGAGACTCGTGGTGGTCTGAAACAGCAGTTGTTATTAACGCAAACAGTTTAACAACTAAAGCTTGGGAACATTCGTCTCACATCTGAGACCCCATTTCTCTCTTTTGACATAAAAAAAAATGTAATTAAAGTATATCTACTGCGTATTTCCATCACATGGGTGATCACTACCACTACCCCTATATCTAAAAAAGATATACCTTGTCTGTCTGTATGTTCCACCTCTCCATGCTCAGATGAAGCTTTGTGGCCATACATGTGTCCCCCAGAGTTGTGTGAGTCTGACAAAATAATTGCCATTGGTATTAGACAAAAACATTTCTGCTGTTTTCAGTATTCAGGTGGAATTTTCTTCTAAGGGTTGCTATGCTTTATTTATGGAGAAAGATCATCTGACAGTACAGGTGTACAATAATATACACTCACCAGCCACTTCATTAGTTACACCCATTGAGTTGTTTGTTAATAATGGAAATATCTGATCAGCCAATCACATGGTAGAAACTCTATGTATTTAAACACATAGACATGATCGAAATGACCTGCTGAAATTCAAACCAAGCGTCAGAATGTGAAAGAAAGGCAATTTAAGTGACAGTTATGTTTGTTGATGCCTGAGTATTTCAGAAACGGCTGGGATTTTGTCACACAATCATCTCTGGATTTTATGGAGAGAATCCAGGAGAATGGTTCCAAAGAAAGCCAAACTATCCAGAGAGCAACAGTTCTCTGGGCTAAAATACATTGTTGGTGAGATCAGAGGAGAATGGCCAGACTGCCCTGGGCTAATAGGAACAGCATTAACTCAAATAACCACTTGTTAAAACCAAGGAAAGCAGAAAAACTTTGAAAGCTTGAAACTGGTTGGCTTCAACAGTAGAAGACCACACAGCAATCAACCGTTGCAAGCTGAAAACAAGAAACTGAGGCTTGATTTTACAAGGGCCCACCAAAACTAGCCAACAGAAGTTTGGAAAAATGTTGCCTGGTCTGATGAGTCTTGATTTCTGCTGCAATGTTCACATGACAGAAACATGAAACCATGCATCCATCCCTCTTAACCAATGGTTCAGGCTGTTCAACCTAATGGTATAGTGGATATTTTCTTGGCACACCTAGGGTTCCAGCAGTTCCAAATGAGTACCATCCATGGACTTGACTATAGTGTACCTATCTTCTGATGGCTGCCTCCAGAAGGAAAACAGTGTCAAGAAGCTCAAATTATCTCTTTCTGGTTTGATAGATAGATATTTTTGGTTGTGACAACACTGCACTGAAATGGCTTCCAAGCTATCACGTCAATAAGAACTAACATCTCTTAGCACTTGGAAAAATTAATACAGTTCTGACAGCAAAATGGAGTTCAATCCAATACTTGCAATGTATACCTAACAAAGTGTCCAATGAGTGTACATTAAACTATTAAATACACTGCTAATCATACCTAATATATCAGATACCTTTTCTTTCTGTATGTCCCCTTTCCTCCCTTCCATGTCTATGTTCAGATGAGGTTGTTATTCTGTGGCCATGAGTTTCATGCACATGTCCCTCAGGCTTGTTGTGTCCATGTTCAGATGCTCTATGGCCATGAGCTTCTTCTACATGTCCCCCATGCTCATGTCCATCATGGTTATGATGTCCATGTTCAGTTGTTGGTTTGTGGCCAATAGCTTCTACTAAATGTCCCCCACGCACATGGCCCTTAGGCTTGTGATGTCCATGTTCAGTTGTAGGTTTGTGGTCATGAGCTTCTTCTACATGTCCAACATGCACATGTCTCTCAGGCTTGTGGTCTCCATGTTCAGATGCACTATGGCCATGAGCTTTTTCTACCTGTCCACCATGCACATGCCCCTCAGGCTTGTGATGTCCATGTTCAGATGCACTATGGCCATGAGCTTCTTCTACATGTCCTCCATGCACATGCCCCTCAGGCTTGTGATGTCCATGTTCAGTTGTAGGTTTGTGGTCATGAGCTTCTTCTACATGTCCAACATGCACATGTCTCTCAGGCTTGTGGTCTCCATGTTCAGATGCACTATGGCCATGAGCTTCTTCTACATGTCCTCCATGCACATGCCCCTCAGGCTTGTGTTGTCCATGTTCAGATGCACTATGGCCATGAGCTTCTTCTACATGTCCTCCATGCACATGCCCCTCAGGCTTGTGTTGTCCATTTTCAGATGCTCTATGGCCGTGAGCTTCTTCTACATGTCCCCCATGCACATGTCCCTCAGGCTTGTGATGCCCATGTTCAGATGCTCTATGGCCATGAGCTTCTTCTACATGTCCACCATGCACATGTCCCTCAGGCTTGTGATGCCCATGTTCAGATGCACTATGGCCATGAGCTTCTTCTACATGTCCACCATGCACATGTCCCTCAGGCTTGTGATGCCCATGTTCAGATGCACTATGGCCATGAGCTTCTTCTACATGTCCTCCATGCACATGCCCCTCAGGCTTGTGATGTCCATTTTCAGATGCACTATGGCCATGAGCTTCTTCTACATGTCCTCCATGCACATGTCCCTCAGGCTTGTGATGTCCATGTTCAGATGCAGATCTTTGGCCATGTGCTTCTTCTGCAGGTCCACCATGCACATGTCCCTCAGGCTTGTGATGCCCATGTTCAGATGCACTATGGCCATGAGCTTCTTCTGCATGTCCACCATGCACATATCCATCAGGGTTGTGGGAGGCTTAAACACCACAACAATTAATAGTAGCTGGGAATTTCAAGTCGGGGGAACAGTCTAGCCATTGTTTAGCAAAAATATAATGCAGAAGATTATTCATATGGTACCTGTAATTTCAGCTGTTCTGTGCTCAGGTGGTATATTGTGGCTCTGGGCCTCATGTATGTGTTCCTCAGACTTGTGTTGGCCTGACAAAACACATTTATATAATCAGGAAACATTTCTGTTGTTTTTTTTCTAATATTCAGATAATGTATTATATCTGAATATACGTTGGTATAATGTATATAATATGTATAATAAATTCATATTAAATTCAGGAGAATAGCTATCTTAACCTAATTGCTGTGAATCCAGCTGCTGAAACATCAAATTGAAATTATTGTTCTGAATATGATCTTCCCAGTTCCAAATGCCAGTCCTTTCAGCTTTGCTTCCTGCATGTTCCCACTAAATATACTGTAAAGTGGATACACCTCCTGTCCTGATGCCTGTGCTCAAATACGGTTTGGTGGCCACGAGTCCCATGCAAGTGTTCCTCATTATGGTGGGAAACTGAAATGCCAATTTAGTTTGTTTTGTATTTTTTTTATGCTGTTATATTTAAAATTTAGCACTATATCTTAAATGAACCAATACACAATCTAACTGCTGAGACATTAAATTCAAATTATTTTTCTTAATACAGTCCTTCCAGGCCCCAATTTTTAGGAGGTTTTTGAGTTTTAAAAAGAAACTTGTTACTACTGTGTATTAAACTGAGAGACTTTCAGCTTTGCTTCCCACATGCTCCTCCTCCCCATGTCCATGTGATGTTTTATGACCATGAGTCCCACATTGGAGCTCAACATACTAACGGGAACTGGCAACCCACAATTGCCTTGAACAGAAGAAAAAAGCAAGTTGCCATATTTATTCTGAAGGAGACTTTTAACTTGTGGTTAAAAGTCTCCTTCAGAACAGCTTCGATTCATGATCGGGCTATTGGGTTTGATTTCAGAATAATAAAAACTATAATAAATAAATACAAATACTGCTACTAGTACTAAAATTAAGCTAAAATGCTATATTAAATCTAAAAAAAAAACCCTGCTACTACTAGATTTCAACAATACCTTTACCTTCAGGTTTTCTTTCCATATGCTCCTGCTGTCTGTGCTCAGGTGAGGTTGTTGTTGTGTGACCGTGGGCCCCATGTACATGCCCCTCCAATGTGTGGGGGTCTGACACAACACAGTCATTATTGTTAACAAGTTGTATTTCTTCTGTGTGCTGTGTTTCGCGTGACACTACAACATAAAAGATAAAGTACCTGTTGTTTCAGGATGTATTTCATTATTCTCCTCGTGTCTCCATCCATGCACATGCGAGGTTGTTCTGTGGCCATGAGTCTCGTGTGTGTGTTCTCCTGACACAATTTTCAGTCAGAACCAGAAAAAAATCTCACTGGGCAAACATTAATTTCTTCTGCTTTATTTATTAATAAAGCCCATGTTAAATCTATAAAGACTTTGTCTCCACTATGCTCTAAAAATACCTTTACTTTCACTCTCCTCCTCCTTTCTTTCCACCCCATGCTCAGATGAGGTTGTTGGTTTGCGGCTGTGAATCTCGTGTACGTGTTCCACAAAATTGTGGGGAGCTGAAACACCACAATTGTCACTGACATAACAAGCCAAAACTGAGACACATTTCCATGTCTGGCTTCTGTAGTAAATAAATCATGTTTTCATTTATCACCTGCATATTTCCTTACTCGCCTATGCCCACTGCTATATAATTCTACAGTGCATTTGTTTAGCATGAGCAGGAAGAGTGCATTTGTATACCTTTCCCTTCAGCTTTTCTGTCTTCATGCCCGTCGCCATGCTCAGGTGAGGTTGTTGTTTTGTGGCCGTGAGTCTCACGTGTGTGCCCGTCAAACATGTGGGAAACTGTCACAAGACAGGCATGAATGTGTGTTTAAATATAAAAATAAAAATGCATCTCTGTGGTTTTGCGTCAGGACACTACAAGTTTACTACAGTTAGCTACAGAGTTGTCACTACAGTGCATATAGAACTGTCACCTTTCCGTTCTTCTCCTCGTTCTCGATGCACCACCTCATGTGAATTTTCACCGTGCTCAGATGAGGCTGTTGTTTTGTGGCCGTGAGCGTCGTGTTCCTCAAATGCGTGGGAAACTGTTATACCACAGCTTTTATTCACAAAACGTCCCTCAAAAGCCTCTATAACATGTTAGTATTTAACTGTAAAAGTTGCTTAAAAGAAGCTAAAAGTCTTCTGTTTATGATCTCCAAATCGAATTGTGAACACTATGACATCATTTGGACCACTGTGCACAAAACGCAGTACCTTTGCTTTCTGCATGCTTCTCTTCCCCGTGCTGAGATTGGGTTGTGGATGCGTGTCCGTGAGTTTCCTGTACGAGCTCCTCAGACTTGTGAGAGACTGAAACACCACATATTTTTATCAACTTAACGGGAAGATGTGTAACACACGGCGAACACTACTACTATTATACACTTTAACTACAGCTCTGGTTGTCATGTATGTGTCCCTAAGACTGGTGGTGGTCTGAAGCGCCACAGCTGTGATTGAAATAATGAGGAGAATTTATGATAAATACTCTGTCATTTCCAATGTATTAGGGGACCTAGGGATTGCCAAGTTTCATTTAAGTCTACAGCACATCTGCACAACAAGTAAAGTAAGGTACATAAATCTACATATGCTGTAGATTTTCGTACTTTCCACCACTAGATACCTGTCTCTTTGGATTTTCTTTCTTCTTCCTCATCTTCCTCCTCCCTTCCTGCTCCGTGTTCAGACAAGGAAGTAGTTTTGTGGCCACGAATCTCATGTGAATGTTTTTCAGACTCATGGGAGACTTAACACATCACAACCACGATTAACATAAGAAACAAAAATTTAAATACAGTTCTACTGTTTACAGTTTTTGTTTTTTGCTTTAAGTTACAAAGTGCAATCTACTTACCATGCACACCACTAACTACACTGAGCTACTAACTACAGTCGCTACACTTCATACACAAGGGATACCTTTTCTTTCCGTTTCTCCTCCTGAATGCTCCTCCGTTTTCTCCCCATGCTCAAACAAAGATGTAGCTTTGTGGCCATGAGTCTCATGCAGCTGTTCCTCTGACTTGTGGGTTTCTGACATAATCCAAAATATTCATTTGCAGAAAAAGCAACAATGCAAGATGTAGTTATTAATTTGATCTATTCCAAATTATCAAATTAACATACATAAAGAGTCACATCTTGATTCAGCCTGTTTCTCTGTTGCCTCTTAAAAGATGAAAGAACTAAAAGAAGAAATGAAGGCATCTGATTGCCCTCGTTTAATTCCACCTGATGAACTTAAAAGTAATCTTCTGGATTTGGTTGGTTGGATTACCGGTTGGGTTACAGATTATGTAAAAGGAAATATAGCTTTCTAGTCTGGAAAGTGAAGCCAACAAACGTCAAAACGTCAAGTTATCGACTACAAGAAAAATCTTCAAAACGGGACACAAATAAATAGAGTGACGTCTTCCTAACTATGTCCATCTTTTGTACTGTCCCAGTGTAAAATCAGCCTGAGTTAGTTTTCATTTACTTTTCCAATGGGATTAAGTCCACAGGACCTAATAAAAACACAGTCTTATCTTATCAATCTGTGAAACCTAATCTATATTTCACTTTTGAGAAATCCAACAAAGCTACCTAAATGTTCATTTTAACGACTTTCTTTTATAATTTAAATATAACTACCATACACAAGGTTTTTGGCTGGTTGACCTTTATCAGGTATATAGTTAATGTCCATACTTTCACTAACACCACACACACACACACACAAACACACACACACACATCCTCCTGAAATGTTTCAATCATCCAGTCAGAACTTAAAGTGTGATTAGCACATTTCACATGTATGTGCCATTAATCAGAATATTATTTTAAAAAACCCCAAAGCATTAGACTGAAGCTAACCATAAATAACATCTATCCAACCCTTTTCTTACCTGCACAGAAAACATCACCAAAATAGCCTATACTCATTAGCAACAACACCATGGCAAAGATCTTTCACAAATTTACACAGTTTTTTCCCACATATTCAAATATATAAACCGATGAAGACGAAATACAAATATCAAGTAGTACAAATAATTACCAACTTGTTCATAAAGTGACTTCCTACCGAGTTTTAATTAACATGTTGCAGAAGTTTTCCGCCAATGCACCTGCCGTCTATGCTGGTGCGCAGGTATTTTTTAGCTGATTGAAAGAGTTTCACACAATAATCGTCAGAAACCTACCTACAACACTTTTTATTGAATCAGCCTTCTATATTAAATCAAATGCAACCTAAATCTAAACATAATGTAACAAACATGTTCAATTAAATTCAGTTTTATTTATATAACTCGAAAGTACATTACAGTATTTGAATTCTTTGAGCAAATTTAAGCTAGCGCTAGTTAATCTGTTTAATTGCATAATGCATTTGGGTTTAAATTGTGTTTCTTTTTAAGCCTAAAACCAAATAAATGTACTGGAGCCAACATTTTGGATAAGCTTAATGACAGCCTGTCAGCGAGAAGCGACATTTAGATATATTTCTGCTTCAGTTAAGAATCATGAGCTGTCACATTTCTATCACAAAACCGAACACTCAAAGAAATCGAGTAATTTACTCCACTTAGTTAAAGAAATACCCGTCTTTTCAAATATTCTCTCTGTTTCCTCCTCCTCTTCCTCCCTTTTCTGCCCATGCTCAGAGGACGTTGTTGCTTTGTGTCTCATGGAAAGACTTGTGGGAGACTGGCACGCCGCAAACACAGTTACCTCACAGGATGCCCATTCTTGTTAAGCTATTTTACAGGCACCTATCCTCGACAACCTGAACAATAAGAGCTTTATAATTAGGCTGATACTGCAGTGGGTAAAGATTTCTGATATCGTCTGCCTGCTTTCCCCTCTTCCTCCGAGACCTTGTTTTCCTCTTCTCTGCCTTTCTCTCTGTCAGATAGCGGATTGGCCCATCAGGGGCCTCAGCCCTGGGCTTGGGAAAAAGCTGTGAGAGTCAGAGAGGCTTGAGAAACTCCTTCATCACTACATTTTCACTCTGGGTGTGAAAGAAATGACATGCACTTCCTTTTATCTGAATGTCATGAAATGTTCTGACTGCTTTTGCACTCGTTCACTTTGTTCCCTCGCATAATGGAGGAGGATGATCCACCTCTGCTCTTGTTGTCTTTTTATCATATTAAACTAGAACTATGAATATTCATGAGACGCTATGGATATCGGAGCAAATTCTTCTTATGGGTGGATTTCCTTGGTTTTTAGATCTAACGTGCTCTCTGTTGCCACAGTCACACAAAACATCTCAAATCAATACCAGAGACACATTCCACTTTTGCTGCATTTATAATTGTCACTCGCTCCTGCTTTTCCTTTTTCGAGCATTTTCCTTTGTATATTCCACTTTCCCAGAGGGGTTTATGCCATACCCAGAATCCTTTGCTTCAAGTTCTTAGGGCTAGAGAAGAGAGATGTAAAACTAGTTCAGTTTGTGGATCAAACCACCTCCAGCTTACACCTTTTCCGTTAACTGCACCACAGAGCGGCACAGTTCAATAAATTAAAAAAAAAAAAAAAAATCCACCACAGAGATGGTTAAAAATACAGATAGCCAATCCCATAATGTGACCACACCGTGCACGTCATCGAGGGACTAATGATCACTAGACCGCTAGAGAATACATTTCTCCTGCATGCCTCCATCTGTGTTCCCCCCCTTGAGGTGTTTTTCATGCAAGCAATGTACGTCTCCAGTTGTTCTTGCCCAGAGAGAGGGGCATCCTGCAAGCGTCCCCCGCTCCCCTGCGGAGCATCCCCCTTCAGGCAATCTCCCGCCCACATCGCTCCTCCTCTTCATCCCTCCCTCTCCCAAGGGCCTCCAGGGAGACGGGACGCCAGCAGCTGTTCTCAGAGCACCCGGGATCGTTTCACACAACTGGCACTGCGCCATCATTACATCTCATCATAGTAACCCCTGCCTACCTCTACTCATGTCCTACTCTGGCCCCACATCTGTCACAGCTGTGTGAGTGAGTGAGAGAGAGCGCACACACCGGCTGATGAACTCTCTTGTGGGAAAGCAGGATTCTGAATCACAGTTGTTTCAACTGGCTGATGTAGCACAGCGGTGAGCATAAACGCATTTAATCTCAGTAACCCGCGCTGCCTTGGGGGGGTAGGAGTGATCCGAACCATTCTTGGCATTAATCTCAATCAGCTCAGTTCGAACCATCTGACAGGAGACGCTGGCAGCCGGAGCCTTCGGTGTTCCCCCTTTGCTCCGCGCTGACTGAAAGAAGGGCATGTGTAAGAGTCAGTTGGGCTTAGTAAACCATGACAGTGATGGAGCTCTTCATTTGCTTCCTCACCGGCAGGTTGACGCTGTGCCAAAACCAGCAGAAAATGACCCCAAACGACACGGGATCGTTTTCATCTCGGCACTACGCACAATGCTTCCGGCAGTCTTTTTAAAGAAAAATGTGCTGCAGTGAGTTCACATAAATTTGGGCTCAGTCTCCGATCCTCTGATGCTCTGCAGTTCTCTCTGTGACTTTAAATGATGCAAAGACGATGTCGGCCGAACTAATCCAACTTTCTGTTTCTTTCTGTAGCTTCTCACACGCTCATTCACCCACATTAAGTGGATTTCACTGGCAGCACCTAAACTGAGCAAGGCTTCAGACATATGATATAATGGTGAGCGTAAAAGTGATGGTAGCTTGTGTATAAAAGCATGTTAGGCCTGAAAATTGCCCATTTTAAAAGACTTTGACACCCTGTAAACCCCATCACGCTGGCTGTAAAACGATCTCATTCTAAATTAGATTACTCTCATTTCTGTGGGCCTCCATTCTACTCTGTATCTACTGCTATCTATGTCTTACTGTGCCTTAGCTCTGAGCATTTATCCCCAGTTTTAACACAGCTCGTGTGATGGTGTGTCAGCAGATGGACATCGGGCTCCTCTGTGATCTTTTGTCGGTGGTGGCGATGATGTTGATCGACCGCTGAGCCATGTGCAGAGTTCTTCAGGACTAGATGCGACAGATGCAAGTGTTCGGGGATTGTTTCTGAAGGCGTAAACTCCTCTGGTGTCAGGGGAACTCTGCGCTGCTCTGGCAGAGAGGATGGTGATGGAGGGTGAACCTTTGTTGTAATATGAAGTGTGTCAGATTCTCCCGTGGGTATCAGTAGAGGCTTAGGCGCAGCGCTGGTGGGTAACACATTGTGTGTTAGCGGGGCTGAGCTCTCTGTAACTCGGGTTTCTGCTGGTGGAGCTCTGCTGTCTGTTGCATCAGTTGCATGAGGACGGAGAATGTAAATGCAATGAGGAATGTGCAGGCTATGGCATTAGCATAAGAGATGCTGCCTCAGATTGTTTATCCAAAGAAAGCCTAGCGCTCCCCCCCTTTTTTCCCTTCAAATGAGCACATATACGCGCACACACACTCACACACAAGTATGCGCACGTTCACACACGAACGGAAGTGAGAACCCGCAATGAAAGTGCGATTTCACACTGCTGAGACAGGCTAAACTCAAAAAGCTGTTCCACAAACCCTTTCTGTGCTGAAAATTGTGTCCTTTCTGGAAAACGCTGTGACTGCTAAAAGGTGTGACTATTGTTAATGCGGTTGTAAAATGAAATCACACAGTGTTTGTCAAAGTGTATTACGCCGTTTTCTTTGCACTTACATGGATGTGTCCGTATGTGTTTGCACACACTCAGCTTTGTCGTCAGACAAAAACAATGACAAATAATGGCAACGCTTATCTCTCACCTTCAAAACAGCTACAAATCAGTTGCTGGATCACTATAAATGTAACACAGCTGCACAGAGGTGCACCAGATTGCCACATAATCTAATTATACGAAACTGCATTGAAACCGCGAAAATGTCCGGGTTGATCGTCATGCTATTTTCCACTTAAGTGAATCATCAGTAAGCAGTTAATGAGAGAGAATAACTGAGTGGTAATACTAGCTGCGCGGTTCCTCTACACTTCACTTTATTGCATCGTTAATATATTTATTTTGCAGTTGGTTTATTTATAATAATTTAATTAAGACATATATTGTGTATGTTTCCATTGAGCCATCCATCCATCCATTCATTTTCTCCGCTTATCCAGTTAAGGGTCATGTGGGGGGTGGGTGGGGATTGGAGCCTATCCCAGCTACCACGGGGCAAGAGGCGGATACACCCCTGGACAGGTCACCAGTCTGTCTCTGGGCTTATTGTGTGTTTGTAGAATGTAATACATGTAAATACAGGATTATTCCCCTTACAGATCCAGAACAGTCAGATACTTTAAACTTCCTGTATGATGAGAACAAGATCAAAGCTTCTTTGTAAGATGTTTGGTGAAAAGTACATCATAAAACTCATTCTACATTCTACAACAATGTAACAAATCTATTTCTGGAAGGACAGTAGGCTGTCCAGTTCCACAGAGAGGTTTGAAAGCAGAACCGGGAAAGGAATGGAGAAGAGGAATCTGGTAGGTTTTAAACTCGGGCTAGCAGTGGATTTTGAGTATGAGGGTTTTGAAAACTCTGAATCAGATGTAAAGGAAGGCATTTTAACCATCGCACTCATAGCTATCAATCCTAATATCACTCTACTGCAATCGAAACTAAACTACATTAAGTGAGTCTCACACGGCGCCTACCTTCACTTGTATTGAAATAATGGGGGGTTTAGAGAGCTGAAATGTGATTTTCCGACCCCAGAAACAGAGCTGTGGAATGTAATAGACTCTGTATATACAGAAAAAGGGTTAAAAAATAAAAAAATAAGTCTTTGTATCATTTCCAGCCATGCAACAGTGCCACCACTCTCACACATAATGCATTGGCAGTCTAAGCTGATTCATTTTTAAATCCCTTAATATGTGCCTGTCTGTCTGCGCAAATGGACTCACTAACTGTCCCATGACACACTCTTCCATGCACACACCTCGCCTCAGCACGCATGCTGAAGCGAGCATGTAGTGTCTGCTGGCGCGCACTGGCATTTTTATGCATTTGCATGTAATGAGATCATTTGTCACTTCAATTAATGTAGCCCGGGAAAAAAGTATAACAATAATTTTTAATGCCACCTGTCAGTCTTAGCATTCTCATCATTTATTACCGGAGTGTTAAACATTGATTTAGAGTCACACTAATGAATACATTGGGATTCATAGGCGGTTAACATTTTGCCCGAACACCTGACGGTGGCAGAGCGCATGGATGTTATTAATATGTCACATGATTTTCCAGACATGATCCAATCTCTCCAAGACCAAGGCCAAGTTCAATCTTTTCAAAAAATGCAAGTAATTCAGTAGAGTAATGCATCATCAGTGTGTGTGTGCACACATGGTCATCTGCATGTGCGGTTCAGCATGTGACAGGTTATGCTTGTATGGCTCTTTTTCAGCCCAGAGGATCTGGTTTTGGATAAACGATGAAGTCATGGGTCACGAGGGGTCATGCGTCTGGATAGGTAGATGTACGACAGGGTTTGGGGATTTTGGTTTCTCCCACCAGCCCTCCCCACTCACCAAACACCCATCTGTCCAGCTGACCAATAGGCAACGGGCTCATTGGATCAGAGCCTCTTGCCAATGCATCGCTAATCCTTATCTGAGCATGCTCACTGACTTAACTGGGGCAGAGGCACGACAAAGGCTGCGACTACTATAACATCCTGTCCAAGCATAAGCTGCTGTAATGTTTTTTAAAAGGTACATCTGCTCGGGAAGCACAGAACATATTAAAAATACAACTTATCATTGTTTGATTTTACATCAAAATCAATGAATAACTAAGCCTGGATTTTCATTTTTATATTCCTGGAAACGGTAATAGTATTGAAAATATTGTTTATATAACCGGCTTTTTATGTGGATATAAAAAAAATCAAGCATTATAAGTGGGAAAAAGTTAAAGTATGTATTGTTACTTCTAACCTGGAGGTTTTAAAAAGGTTCTTAAGATACACTTAAATAAGATAAATGAAATAACAGTTTATGCTGCATTATTCAAGACTAATGGTGTTATTTGATCTAGATATTAAAGTCAGGACCTTCAGTTACATGATATGATAAAACCTGTGTGTGTGTGTGTGTGTGTGTGTGTGTGTGTGTGTGTGTGTGTGTGTGTGTGTGTGTGTGTGTGTGTGTGTGTGTGCATCAGTGTGTGCATGTACAAACAGTAGTGGCGAACACTCTGTGAGAATGGAACCTAAGACCTGAGATCCCTGGGAGGTGAAGGAGGGGATGAAGATGATTTATGGGTTTTACTGAACTGCACCATATGCTCGCCATAAATCTAAACACACCTGCTCACAAACACACATTCACATGCACTTACACACACGCACACACACACAGATAACAGAGGTTTGCTCACATCGGGGTCAGATTCAAGCCAAATACATTTCTCTAAAGCTGAGATTAAAAATAGGCAAGAATACAATTCTACAATAGGATGATCTTTCACGTTGGTCTACCAGAAGTGTAACAGAGCAGTGTTGTATATTTTTTAATATTGCTGCATATTGTACATTTATATCTGGTATGTACAGATAGAAGTCAAGCAGAAACAACTTTTATGTATTAAAACTTGAGCCACTCCTCAGTTCTTGATATTCGGAACTTTTTCAGGATTGTTTTGCATGGTGAATCACAAGCTGAAAGTATTTTTTTGCATTCATAATTCCATCATTATTGACAAGATCTTCAACACCTCTGATTTCACCGCAGCCCCAAACCATGACACAGCCTCCACCGTGTATTACATCACATTTTATGTTCTTGCAACAGGCTGCTACAAACAAAGTCTGTAACACAACACACTGATAACACTGGTTCAATCCCTCAGTCCAGTGTTTTTTTTTTCATTGCAAAACATTTCTCCAATTGTTAATTCAGTATTTTGCGTTTTGTCTGATTAATGAAAGAAAAAGAATGAAGTAAATGATAATAAAAGAAGCTGTAGGTTGAGGCCCCATTGGGAATGCATTGTATTGCTTTATTGTAGCATTATGACTAAATTTAAAAGTCTACGTGAGATATTCTGTAAAGTTTGTGTCCTTCAAACAGGACTTTAAAAGGCTCTCTGAGGGTTGTAGTCCTGTTTATGTAATGTTAAAGCTCCTGTCAGGCTCACCTAAATCAAAGCAAATGAGTGGGTTCTTTGAGTTCCTGTCGTCAGCCAAACAACAAAACTGCTGCGCTGTTCAAAACATGCTCTTAATGGATTTCCTTAAGACCAAAAAAAACTATCACAGCTCCTCCCACTTTCTAAGTGCTTTCCTGGTACAACATGAGAGGTCTGCTGCTTACCAAAATAGCAGGATTTAATTTAGTATGAAAGCAAGCCGCGCTTTACAGGCCACTTTACCGTACAGTATATCGAGGCGGCTGACCGAAATGTTCACATCTATCCCGGACTGCTCAAAAATCATTCAATCTGAATGAATAAACTCTGAATGACCTTGATGACCTTGCTCTCAAGATAAGACAACCAGCTTTTAACATTAGAGACAGGCCGAGCATTAACACCACAGAGGCACGTTGCTCATCAGAACTGCTTTTGCATCATATTGAGGACATACTGAAAAAGTATAAAGCATCAACTTTCAATCTACCTATTCCTAATCTACTTTGTCGCACCTTCCTGAAGTGGTTTGTGGGTAACAGCGGGAGACCGTTCAGCTTCAGAGATGGTTGTGGTTGTTTCCACGTCGCCCTCGGGCCCGCCCTCACCTTCAGTTTCACCCTTAGTTTCAACTCCAGCTTTCACCTCTGTCCCGTCATCAGCTTTGGGAGCGGTAAACGTCCTAGATGAAGTTCCTGTTGTGGCTATTTGGCAACAACAAGTACAGATCTCCATTAATAAACAGAAGCTAAATGTGTGGGTAGGCTGAAACTGGAAAACCGAACCCGTAATCATCCCATTAGCTAGAATCATTATTTTCTTTGATAAATAACACCAATTTTTTTCTTTTCATTCTCTAAATAAGCAGACAGTTGTGTCTAACTGTCAGAGGAGACCATTTAAAAAAGAAGGCTTCTGCAGTGCAGTCCAATTGCTCAGTCTATCCATGCATCAGCCTTTACTGTTGGGCCATGTGGAGAAAAGCCCAGTGCTGTCAGGGTTGATGTTGCCACTTTGCCGATCGTTTCTGTCTAACAGCTCGGAGGCTGCGAGTCTCTCCACAGAGAGAATCCCTAATCAAATTCCCTTTTATTCCTGCCTCCCCACGCTCCTCACCCGGAATCACACTGCATTACAACACACTAACATATGCCCACATCCTTCTCTCCCTTTTCGTTCTCTCTCTCCCTCGCTCAGCTCCCTTTTCTGCTCCATCCACCCGCCGTTCTCTCACTCAGCCCTCTCTCATCGCCCCTTTTCTTCAATCCATCAACAGAACTGTCTTTAGTCTAAATAAAAAAAACAGCAGAACTGTGGAAGAAATCCTCCTGTGCAGGTTAGTGTGATGTGTTGGGATGAAAGGACATGGGCGACAGAGAGGCCTATTAATAATGAAGCACGCGGGGCTTCAGCTGGAGCAAGTGAGGAGAGGAGATGCAGAGGGGGGGAAGAGGAATGACTGAGTCGAGAGCCAGCTGAACATCACAAAGAGAGAGAGCAGGGTGGGGTTTAGGAGATCCAGATGGCGAGGTGTGGGGTTAAAACAATGCAACAAAAAGGGGACCGAGACGAGACAGGGAGAGAAGCAGAGTAGAATAGCACTTCTTCTGCTTCGCTTTGCATTATTACTTACTAGAACCAGAGGGGGAACCAGCAATTGTACCTGAAAGAGAATAAGAAAAGGGAAGAGGATATGAGATGAGAGCTTGTTTATTTATGCATTCAGTTTGCCTAAAGACTTGACTCTGCCTCATTCATCAGACTCAGGTGGCAGAGAGAGCTAAAGAGCTGCTCTGCAAAAATAAAGGCTTGTTTTGGACTACCTCTCAAAGTCCTGAAGTAATTACTGAACCCGCCTCCTCCATTCTTCCTAATTTTATCTTGCTGCTCTCTCTCTAATCCCCATATTCACGGGCGCTCATCACATATGGATGTTTTAAGAGAGCACTACCACTTTGCTACACTCGCATCAAAACTTTCGCCTCTCTTGCATATTTTTTTTTCCCCGAGATTGTACTAACAGTTAGCCTAGCCCGAGCATGCATAATGCAATCTGTAGAGGCTCTTTCGTGAGCCGTGGCCGTTTTGTGTAGCATTTCGACGGAGCGAGCTGCAAACATTTGAATTTTTAAAATTCCACTAATGGGATTCAGTTTAAAAAAAACAGAAAAAATGGGCGGTGGGCTCGGGAGTTGCGTCGGTACCATTAGAACTGGGTCGGAAATGTCAGGCAGATTTAAAACAAAAGGCTAACAATAGAGCCATTCTCTGCAGTGTGTTTGTGTGTGTGTGTGAGTGCACAAGTACAGGTGTGCAGTTGCGGGTTTCTGTGTGCATCTCTTGTGCTCCTAAGTGTCTCAGTGTCTGTTTGGAAGGAGAAAGGCTAGGGAGGGGCTGCCCTAGATTATTATTTTATCATATCTAGCTACTGTAGCTGGCTACTGAGAGGATTTCCTCCCCACACACTCCCACGTCATGACACGGCTCTGATGTGCTCTCTGCACAGAGGTGACAACAACTCAGCCTCTTCACCCTTTTCTTTCTTTTCCAGCCTGCTTTTATGCAGGACGTCAGAGTGATAGAAAACCTCTTTCATAAGTCGGCAACGATGGAAGCCACGGTTCAGATTGCTTCCGCAAAAAGTAGTCTTACAGTTGTGCAGCTCTATTATAATAAAGAAGGCTGATAGGTGTTATTAAAAAGAGTCAGTGATGTTATTTCTAACTTACACGTGTTGGGGGTTCCGTTGGGTGCCGGCAGGTAGGAACCTGCTTTCCAGGACTTGGCTTTGAAGCCCTTCTTGCAGCGCTGGCAGTCCTGGCCTGTGGTGTTGTGTTCACACTGGCACTGGAGGTTCCCGCCATCCTCATCTGGCAGGCACTGGGAGGCGTGGAGGTTACACTTACACCTTAAACAGAAATAGAACGGACGCCCGTAAGACAAAATGTTCATGCGATGTGTGGGAGCTGACTGTGTATAAAGCTGCGGGAATAAGCTGTAATCACACCCAGGTTACAGTTACAGTGTTAATCATACTCTGTATTTTCCATGTTCACCAAAGTGCAGCTGTGGACTGCTGAGTTCCCTGTGCACAGACATGCCGCACACTTCTTGTTCTTGTGTTTAATTCTTTAGCGAATACTCTAAATCAGCGGTCCCCAACCCCCGGGCCTCGGACTGGTACCGGTCCGTGAGTTGTTTGGTACCGGGCCGCGAGAGATGAGGCTCAGGTGTGAAATGTATAGTTTTCAGGGTTTTTATCGTTTTTCAGCGTTATTTTGTTATCGTTTTTAACTCGGTTTTCCTGGGTCTTTTCACGTGTGTTATGAATAAATCTTCTGTTTTTCGGTACCGGTACTGGTTTTATTTTGTAGTATTTATCCGCGACACCTTAAAGGCCGGTCCGGGAAAATATTGCCAGGCATAAACCGGTCCGTGGCGCAAAAAAGGTTGGAGACCGCTGCTCTAAATTACAGCACGTCACAAAGAGTCAACTAAGTGTGGCCTCGCCGGCGCACTTGTACCAAGCAAACGAGACGAGCAGAATCATAGTTAAAAAATCGCGATGCCCTTGAGACTTGTCACTGTGATAGGTTTATTACTTAACTCTGTTTTTGCTCTCAAATGTATTCAGTGCTTTCTCAGAAAGTACTGGCAGAACTTCAGCGCCCATTTCTATTTTGATGTTTGCTGGTAAAGTTTGTACAGTTGCCAGTCCATCTGATTCTGTTTTTTTGTATTTTACTGGCAGCTGTACTCACACTGACAGTCTAAAGTGACAGCAATGAATTAAACTGCTTAAAAAAAACCTTGCCGGGTAACAAAAGTCCCAACTGAGTCAAAAACACTTAATTCATCAGTTTGTCAGGTGATAGAAAATAAATCAGCAGCTATTTTGATAATCTTCTCAGAACATTATTTCAAATTTTTTGGGTGCAAGAAGTCATAGGTGAGGTTTTTCTTTTAATCACATATAATATTAAACTAAATATATTTGGCTTGTGGGGCAACTTAAAAAGGTCGATCTGTACTCCTGGAAATTTTATTAGCCCTTTGTCACACATTGTACAATATTTAGTACTACCACTTTATAGGACATCTGAGCATTAATATGATTATAATAGCCAGTAGTATAATAGTATATGAAATAGAGAAGTAACTGACAGTAGAACACATGAGATATGAGTAATAAATTCTCATATGATTTTTTTTTTACATTTTATTTATTTGACTCATGATTTTTTTTCCACATTTAAACATATCAATGAACAGTGATCGTAGTAGTATGTTTAATATGTTGGTAACAATGGGATAATCTGCCAGCACATCAGTGTAATAGCTGGACTAACTAACTAATCCCTTTTTAAAAATTTTGTGATTACTCTCAGTATAACTGTGTATGTTGGAACAGGGTAAAGGTCCTTTACCATAATAATAACATGAAATGAAATAGAAACTGGTAGCGTTTAGCAGCCAGCAGTCATCAGAACTTTTACTGAACTTTACAAGGGTCTTCAGAATCAGAATCAGAATCAGAATACTTTATTGATCCCTGGGGGAAATTATTTTTTGTTACAGTGCTCCATTTTAAACCAACATTAAGACAAGACAGACAATACGCTAACTAAGAATAGTACAATATATACATATATATACATACATACATACATAAGTCACTTATAAATAAATATTTGGAAAAGAAACATGTGTAGTTGTAGCAGCAAACAGTGTGTTAAGTGGATGCGTTGTACAGGGAGATGGCCACAGGCAGGAATGATTTCCTGTGTCGTTCAGTGGTGCTTTTCGGTAATCTCAGTCTCTCACTGAACGAGCTCCTGTGACTGACCAGCATGTCATGGAGTGGGTGGGAGGTGTTATCCAACATTGTCTTTATCTTGGACAGCATCCGCCTCTCCGACACCACCTTGAGGGAGTCCAGCTCCATCCCCACAACATTGCTGGCCTTACGGATCAGTTTATTAAGTCTGTTGGCATCTGCGACCCTCAGCCTGCTCCCCCAGCATGCAACAGCATAGAGGATCGCACTGGCCACCACAGACTCATAGAAAATCCTCAGCATTTTCTGGCAGATGTTGAAGGACCTCAGTCGCCTCAAAAAATAGAGACGACTCTGGCCCTTCCTGTAAAGTGCTGTGGTGTTTTTAGCCCAGTCCAGTTTATTGTCAATGTGTACTCCAAGGTATTTATAGTCCTCCACAATGTCAACACTGACCCCCTGGATTGAAACAGGGGTCAAGTGTTTCCTGGTCTTCCTGAAGTCCACGATCAGTTCCTTGGTCTTTGCCACGTTGAGCTGCAGATGATTCTGCTCACACCACGTGACAAAGGAGTTGACCACAGCCCGGTACTCTGTCTCATCATCCCTGCTGATGCATCCAACCACCGCAGAGTCATCAGAAAACTTCTGAAGATGGCATGTCTCTGTGCAGTGGCTGAAGTCTGTGGTGTAGAGGGTGAAGAGGAAGGGGGAGAGGACAGTCCCCTGTGGTGCCCCTGTGTTGCTAATCACCTTGTCAGACACACACTGTGGGAGACGTACATATTGTGGTCTTCCTGTCAGGTAATCAACAATCCAGGACACCAGAGAAGCATCCACCTGCATTGCTGCTAACTTATCACCCAGGAGGGTCGGCCTGATGGTGTTGAAAGCACTGGAAAAGTCAAAAAACATGACCCTCACAGTGCTCGCCGGCTGGTCCAGATGGGTGTAGACACGATTGAGCAGGTAGATGATGGCGTCCTCTGTTCCGAGACGAGGCTGATAAGCGAACTGAAGGGGATCCAGATGTGGTCTTACTATGGGTCGCAGCTGGTCCAGGATGAGCCTTTCCAGGGTCTTCATGATGTGGGAGGTCAGTGCCACGGGCCTGTAATCCTGGGGGCCACTGGGACGAGGCGTCTTTGGTACAGGGACGAGGCATGATGTCTTCCACATCACCGGGACCCTCTGCAGACTCAGACTCAGCATAAACAGTTTATGAAAGACTCCACACAGCTGGGGGGCACAGGCCTTGAGGACAAGGGGACTCACTCCGTCTGGTCCAGCAGACTTGCCTGAGTGAAGTCTCCTCATTTGCATCTCAACCTGGTATTGAGTGAAGGTGATGGGTGGGGGAGGGGTGTCAGGAATCTCACAGGAGGCAACATGTGAAGAGAGAGGCTGGCACAGCGGTGTGGCTCTGGATTCCAGGCTGACTGCAGGTGAGGTTGTGGGGGTGGGAGCAGACACTGTGGTGTCGAATCTATTGAAAAACAGATTCAACTCGTCGGCTCTATTCTCACCTCCCTCAGCTCCCCTGCTGTTGGTTGGCCTGAATCCAGTGATGGTCTTCATGCCCCTCCACACCTCTCTCATGCTGTTCTGCTGGAGTTTCCACTCCAGCTTCCTCCTGTAATTGTCCTTAGCCTCTCTGATCTTGTCCTTTAGTAACACCTGGACCTTCCTCACCTCCTCTTTGTTGCCCCCTCTGAAAGCCCTCTTCTTGTTGTTGAGGAGGGCTTTGATGTCCTTAGTCACCCACGGCTTGTTATTTGGGTAACAATGAACAGTCTGAGCTGGAACAATGGAGTCGGTGCAGAAAGTTATGTAGTCTGTGATACACTCAGTAAGCCCATTGATGTCCTCGGCGTGAGGCTCACAGAGTGTTTCCCAGTCGGTCACCTCGAAACAGCCCTGTAGTTCCGCTATTGCCTCCTCTGACCACCTCCTAACAGTCCTGGTGGTCACAGGTTCCCTCCTCACAATTGGCACATAGCGGGGGGTGAGGTGAATCAGGTTATGATCTGACCTACCAAGTGGGGGGAGGGAGGAGGAGCTGTATGCATCCTTGACGTTAGCATACAGTAAGTCTAAAGTTTTCTCTCCCCTGGTGGGACAGTCCACATATTGTTTGAATGTTGGTAGTGTATTGTCCAGTGATACATGGTTGAAGTCACCCGAGATCACAATAAAGGCACTCGGGTGCTGAGTCTGTAGCCGAGCTATGGCAGAGTGGATAGTGTCACATGCAGCTGTGGGGTTAGCAGAGGGGGGAACATAAACAGCCACCAAGATGACGTGAGAGAATTCCCTGGGTAAATAATACGGCCTGAGTCCAACAGCACACAGTTCAGTGTCCGGGCAACAAATCCTTTCTTTGATTGTTATGTTGGCAGGGTTACACCACCGGTTGTTAACTAAAACAGCAAGCCCACCTCCTTTACGCTTACCGCTAGCGATGCTGTCCCTGTCCGCCCGAACAGTGTGGAAGCCTTCCACGGAAGCATTCTCATCGGGAATGACCTGGTGCAGCCATGATTCGGTGAAACACATCAGGCTACACTCTCGGTATTCCCTCTGACTCCGTACCAGAGGGAATACCGAGAGTAGGTAGCAAACACACAAATCACAACAACAAACATAACATTTTTTACTGTATTGTCTTGAAACAAGGGAGCCCTGTATGGAACATAATGCCTGAAGGTATTTCAGTATTAATTACCGGTGATATAGTGTTAGAGCACACCTAGATAAAATACAGATCACCTCAGTTTGGTCTATTAAGGACCCCCGTACACCACACCTGATATCTGCACAAAACCGCTGCCAGGCAATTTAAAAAAATGAACAAACAAAGAAAAAAGCAGTGGGACTGTACTGCTATTTAAATGAATTCCAGTACAGAGTGATGCATCACTGATAGTAATCTGATATGCAGCAGTAGTCTGTAGCCAGTAGTCTGACATGGATCACTGGTGCATATCAAACTACTGGTGAGACCTAGGTGAATGTTAGTATGGCATCTATGTCGATTTATTTTATTGTTACTAATATTTTCATTGGGAATTTGAACATAATTTACAATTTTAATGTTATTTAGAAGTTATTTGGAGTGTGTGGATCTTCAC